TGACCTGGATCGACCTAGTTCCGGGTCGTGGCCATGTCGGGGAGATTAGGGTCGACTACAGTGTAAAATGTCTATTTGAATCATGCATAAAAGTATATAAAATTTTGTATAAAAGTGAGGTATTTAGAAGAAAGAAAACACGAGGAATACATAGACACACACACATATATATATATATATATATATATATATATATATATACATACACACGCATACACACATACACACACACACACACACACACACACACACACACACACACACACACACACACACACACACACACACACATATATATATATATATATATATATATATATATATATATATACATATAATATACATATATATATATACATATATATATATATTATATGTATATGTATATATACATATATATAATATATATATTATATATATATTATATACATATATATGGATATATATGCGTATATATACCTGTAGGTGGGCGTGGCACTTCTCGACAGAAACGTTTCTTTTCGCTCGAACGTTTTGTTGGGAGAGAAACGTTTGGGTTGCCGGGTTTTATTGTTATTATCATTTATTGCAGTTAGTATCATTATTCACACTTTTATCATTCTCATTACGGTGGAGGAGGAGGAGGAGGAGGTAACAGGAGATGAGATGTTGGGAGGAGACGGAGGGGATAATGAGAGGAAGGGAGGTAAGAAAAAGTCAGGAGAGAATTTTAGTTCAGGGAAGATGGGGAAACGCGGCCAAGTCTTTCATAGAAAACGGATGCGGAATGAAAATGGGAAATTAACGGAGGGACGAATAAGGAAATAGTGAATGGATATATGAATAACTGGGCGTCGGTTCTTGCTGCATTGTGTGTGGGTGTGGGCGTGTGAGTGTGAGTGTATGTTTATGCATGAATGATTCCCATGTGGATTTGCTCGCAGCGGGTGCCAAGGGCTATTTTGATGATTGTTCAATGAAGATATAATAATTAAAATCATCATTTTCCTTTATTTTTGAAAATTGAAAAGACCAAAATGAATAATGTGCTTTTTCCAAAAACAGAATCGCAACTTTTGTGACGTCATCAAACTCAGACGCCATGACACCTACTCGAGTTGCTACTGATCTAGCCTTTCCCATTACTTTTCGTTCATAACTTTCCTTAGTTTGCTGCAAAACACTATATACGCTGAACTAAAGCTAGATCGCAATTATCAAAAATATCACAAATTTATGATCAACGAAGATATATACTCTTCACTGAAGTAAAAAAAAAAAAAAATGTGAGCTTCAAACACCAGGCTGCAACAAAATATCACACATCAGTAACAGAATAGGTTTCGCCGCTGTGACTATTCTTTCATCATATTTTATGCAGACGATGAATAGAGTTTTAAAAAATGTCAAGATGATATATAAGTATACTCTAAGATCCTCGATTGTTTTTTTTTTTTTTTTTTTTTTTTTTTTGAAGAATCGCTATATGTTCATTTATTTTTTAAAATGTAACGAATAACGCACTATTATCATTATGCTTAAGTTTTTCATTTTTTTTACAATTCACTTTTAAGGGGAAATATTTTGCAAACAGTAAATATAAAATGTGTAAGATTTTTCATTCTGCCATTATGACAATCGCTTTTTGGGGAAATTAGGTTAAATTCCAGACCTCAGCCATATGCATTATACAAAAAATATATTCTTTTAGAGGTACACAATATTGATGATTGTACAGTACAGTTTAGAAAAATAAGAATGATATTATATTAGCGGGTCAAAACATTAATATAATTAGAGGTATTTTTCCCTCCATTTGTTCGTCTATGCGTTTGAATATCGGTCGTCAGGTTTACACCAAATAGGCCTATATTATCATTATTACTATTATTATTATTGTTATATTATTATATTATTATTATTTATTATTATTATATTATTATATTATTATTATTTATTATTATTTTATATCAATCAGCCAAGAACATGATTCATTATATTTGGAAGTCATTGTTATTATTACCATTATCATTATTTATCATCATCATCATAATCATTATTATTGTAAAAATCATTGTTGTTATTGTCATCATATTCATTATCATCATCATAATCATTATTATAATAAAAATCATTGTTATTATTGCCATAATATTCATTATCATCATAATAATAATTATTATTATGAAAATCATTGTTATTATTGCCATAATATTCATTTTCATCATCATAATCATCATTATTCTAAAATTCATTGTTATTATTGTCTGTCTCTGTCTGTCTGTCTGTCTGTCTGTCTGTCTGTCTGTCTGTCTGTCTCTCTCTCCTCTCCTCTCTCTCTCTCTCTTTCTTTCTCTCTCTCTCTCTCTCTCCTCTCTCTCTTCTCTCCTCTCTCTCTCTCTCTCTCTCTCTCCTCTCTCTCTCTCTCTCTCTCTCTCTCTCTCTCTCTCTCTCTCTCTCTTTCTCTCTTTCTCTCTCTCTCTCTCTCTCTCTCTCTCTCTCTCTCTCTCTCTCTCTCTTCTCTTCTCTCTCTCTCTCTCTCTCTCTCTCTCTCTCTCTCTCTCTCTCTCTCTCTCTCTCTCTCTCTCCTCTCTCTCTCTTCTCTCTCTCTCTTCTCTCACACATATCTTTTGCCTTTCCATTCTTACTCTTTGTGATATAAAATCTTCCAGGGATTTCTTTTCTTTTTCCATTTTTTCCCGTTAATCTCCTCCATTACTCGCCTCATATCTTGTGTCACCAATGTTCTGACTTCAATTTTCTTTTCTCCTTCTTCTTCTTTTCTCTTACTTCCACCTCTTTTTTTTCCTTTACTTCATTATCTTATTTCATTATTATATCCATGGGTTTGGATATTTATTTATGTTCACAATTTTAAAGGTGTGTTGAACCGTAACCTTAATCTTAATTTTGGTGATCAATAACAATCGATAATTAATATTGAACAGTTGATGGACAAAGACGTTTTAATTAATCGAAATGTCATGGATTTTCACGGCTTTATTAGTAGTTTATCTTCGTACTCCTGTTGCTGTGTTTGGGTCCGCTGGGTTATCAACTTTTTCGTTTTTTTTCAAATATATTGATGCACTTTAACTTTTAACGTACAGCTCTTTTGTTTTGTTTTGCTTGTTTTATTTTTCTTTCATCCGTGTAATCCTTAATTTTATTTAAATTATTAGTGTTTTCTCTTCGTACTCATGATGTGTTTGTGTCCGCTGGGTTATTGACTTTTCGTTTTTTTTCATGTTAATTAATGCACTTTAACTTTTGATTTCTTTGACTGTACAACTTTTCAGTTTTTGTTTTGCTTTTGTTTGTTTTATTTTCTTTCATCTGTGTAACCGTTTTCATATTACTTCACACATTTATTTTATTAACACCAAAACTTTATAAACATTACATACAACTTTGTCTTATTGACGAATATAACTATCAAAAGGTAATGATAATGACAATGACAATAGAATTATTGATGATGATAATGCTATTGATTTTAATTATGACGCTAATGACAACGAAAAAATAGTTTTTCTGATAATGATGAAAATGATAATGATATACTGCTAATGATGATGATATTGGAATGATGATAATATTTATAATGATAAAAATGATGATAATGATAATTGTAAGAATAAGAATAGTAACAATGATAATAATAGTAGCAATAATAATGATAGTAATAATGATAATAACTATTGTTGGCATCATTATTAGTATTATAACGATAACAGTAATAACAATGATAACAATAATGATCATGATGATAATAATGAAAATAAGGATGGTAATGACTGTAGTAATAATGAGGATAATATTAATGATAATAATAATGATAATAGTAATAATGATAATAGTAGTAATAAAAATGATAAGGATAACAACAATAATAATAATAATAATAATAATAATAATAATAATAATAATAATAATAATAATAATAATAATAATAAATAATATAATGATAATAATGATAATAATAATAATAATAATAATAATAATAATAATAATAATAATGATAATAATAATAATAATAATAATAATAATATTGATAATAATAATAACAGTAATAATAGTAATGATAACAGTAATATTAATAATAACAATGATAATGATAAAGATAATAACAATGATGATACTAATAAAAATCATAATGATAATGATAGTTTCTATTGATAAAAACTACTGTTGATAATGATAATAGTAATGATAATAATGATGACAAAATAGAAATCTTAGTAATGATAATAATGATAAGGATAAGGATAACATCGATATTAGCAATGATGTTTATAGTGATAACGATAACCAAGGTAAGAATAGTTATGATGATAAGAATAACAATCATAACAATAACATCAATAATATACACGTGATAATATAAAAGAACAACAACAGAAATAACGATGATGGCAAGAACAATTATTTAAAGGATAAATTATACCAAATAAGGACAGTATCAGTATTATCAACGACAAAATATATAAAAGGAAAATTGCAAAAAAATGCTACAGGTGGTTAATTGAACAACAGCAATTCATACTGTTTACAGATGATAACGGAAACACTCATTGTGTAATTATCGATTACAAATGTATATGGAGAATAGGAATTGAGTATATGGTATTTGTTTTATTACATAACACGAAAGTTTGTACAGAAAATAATTTAAATATTTGCGCTCAAAACACATGGCGTATCGCATTCGAATATACATTTTTTTGCACAATTAGCCTATTGCTTTGATACCATTTTTGTTGAACTAAATGAAAATAATAAATATCCTATATATGATGTGATAATATAACAAAAGAGTGATCTAAAGCATGTACCAACAAATTCGAGTTTGAATAAAATTGATAATCATTTCTATTTTATTCTCAATTCATACAATAAACCAAAACGGATAAAATAAAATAAAAAGCATTCCATCAATACATAAGCCATCGCCCAAAACCTCCAACGAAATGCGAAAAAAAGAAATAAAAAGAACTAGTTGTCCCCACCGCCCAAGAGATGGCGCTGGCGACACGCACTCTTGTTCCCGGGAAAAGAAGGAAACAAAACAAAACTTTTCTCTGAGATCTCTTATTTCTCGCCAAAATGAAGGAGGAAGTGCCCGTTTTGGAGTATGGAGACGTCGCTATTGAATCCAGGGGGATGATGGTACGTGTGGAATAGTCTTTTAGAGGGTTTTCGATCCGTAAATTGAGGAACGAAAGGAAATTTATAGCGGCGTTTCTTACGCTCACATGTGTTGACGGATGAATTTTCTTTTATACTCAATAATTATTTCCCTGTGGAAGTAGATAATGCAATGGATAATTAGCGCATTGACCTTAATGTGATGAATTATTGAAATGCGCCAGTAATAATGAGGTCCATATAGGCCTATGTTTATGATAATGAGAGAGAAATGCGTAGTTTTCTTCCTTTCAAATTCAAGAAATTCAGTTTGCTTACGGTTATCTATGCTGTAATTGACATTTATTTGTAATTTTCCATAAATATTGTGATGTGAAAGGTCTAGAGAGTGCAAAATGTAGGATGTGTAGCCTACCAATTGGACCTCGCACAAAAATTAGTCCAAAGATGAAACTTGTGATAATGAATCCCCTGGAATTATAAATCTACGATGTAAAGCAAGGAGTCGCCGTAAAGACGAATTTGGAATTGATGAACTGCATTCGATGTATACTTGTAGTCCAGTCAGATCAGCTGTAGCAACGATATTGAGGTGACAAGATTTGATGCTAAACTGTATTCCAAGCTCTATTGTGTGAGGATAACATGATGTATTCTTCTTTGCTGAATTGTCTTATTTACGGAAGTCTGGAGGATTAAACTTATACCTTGGGCACTGTCTTCACCTCGTATTCACAAAAGATAGAGCTGAAATTTGGGAGTGTTGAGTGGCCTTAGGCTCTGAGCGGCACTTTCTGCGCTTTTTCCTCTATTAGTGGTGCTACCAATTGGGTCTGCAGATTTTGTGTGCTGACGACTGCAACTTTTAGTCCTATATTAGAATATCATCTTCATTTTGCCATAACTTAGTGCGTCTGTATCACAAAGACTAACCTAGGCCTATATCATGACCTATTTAACATGGTAAGTAACATTGCTATGATTTTCTCCCAAGAACTGGGAGTCAAGATAAGTAAATTTTTACGGTAAGAACACACTAAAGTAGGGCAGATTGAAGACAAAATTCTTGTAGAGGACAAAAAGTTAGTCATTTGTATGAAAAATAATCTGCAGACATGAATGGTAATGCCACTAACAAAAGAAAAGTACCGAAGTCCACTCGAGGCTCCCAAGTTTCAGCTCAATCTTGTTGTGCATATGTGAAGACAGTGCTTTCCTTTCCCGTCAGAATTGTCTAAACCTATAATAGATGGACAGTATACATCATATGGAGTCCATTAGAACCATTTAGTATGAGTTCAGTGGCACTTGTTATGATTTACCCGAAGTTATAAACCACACATAACTAGCTATAGGAAAGAAGTCTAAATTTGTAAAAGAGACAAGCATGTCTGTCACTGACTTCTTGATGACTGGCATAGTTTCTGCAATGTTTGTGCTTGAGTAAAGGCTAACTAATATTTACTGCTATTCAGGTTAGAGAGAGCTTGTTGATCAGTTGCTAATGCTTGACAGTGCATCACAGATGTTAGGCCATCTGTCACAGATTGCTGAAAGTTTAAAAGTTATTGTGTAGGTCTTCTGAACATGTACTAAATGATAGAATATTATAGGAAAGTTACTCGTCCCTTAATAAATGAATTATATCTTACGATGATGATATAAACATCACTTTTATAAAGCATATTTTGTTGTATTGATTACTGTTGATTTCATTTGACTTGTGTAGATAATAAACTGATTGATAACCATGGTTGAAGATTACAATTATTGTCATGTTATGTTTGTGTTACAAAGATATACATAAGAAGTGTTTCTGGTCATATTAGCTGAATGGGAAATAGATTATATGTGTATATTATATATCTATTTCCTTGTATAAGACTTCCTTGTAATTCTTGGCAAAATGACTTCTTAATTGAATTGAACTTTATGATATATAGAAATTGTGCTTATATAGTAGCATGTCTGAAGTCTCCTGTCTGTGTATTATTAAACCTTAATCAGCAATTAACTGTTCTTTCTAGGTTCCTGTGCGCTTAAAGCTCAGTGACCAGGGAATCACATACAGAAACGTTAAGACAGGAAAAGTGGAAACACTAAATGCATCAGATATTGAAGTTGTGAACTGGCAGAGACTGGCAGGTAGCTATGGGGTCCGTATCTTCACAGAGAATGGCAGTCTGTATCGGTTTGGAGGCTTCAAGGAGTCGGTAAGTTTGACATTACTATTTTGGGAGGGGGGATTGACTTTTTAAATTAATTAGAAAGGAATTCCATGAATATATGTGGTTCTATAATTATTATTTTCTCTGGATTGTATATACAATAGTATATCAGTAATGATTTGTTTTATCATTATGACTTCTCTCATTAAATGTAATTATATCTAATTCAGATATGATATATTTGTATTATTGTATTGTTAACATTTCAGGAGCAATCCAAACTGGAGAAGTTCTTCAAGAACACCTACAACAAATCCATGTCTGAAAAGGAGTTTTCAGTCAAGGGCTGGAACTATGGCACAGCTAAGTTTGAAGGAGCTTGCCTCGCCTTTGAGGTGGGCAGCATGCCTGCTTTTGAAGTGCCAATTGTTAATGCCTCGGGTTGTACCACAGGAAAGAATGAAGTTACTTTAGAGTTCCACCAGGTGAGGCTTTGAGGGGGATTCTTGTTGTTAGGGTGAGATGAGAGCATTGTGTTCATCTTTTAATGTGGAAGTTATTGTATGTAATTTATGTGTTATTGGTCTTGTTTGTAATGATTCTAATGTAGAGATTTGTAATTCATGTTATATTTGGTGGGTGGTGGCGTTCAAAATGACTGTTGTGAGGTGATATTTGAAAAAGAGGAGTAGTAAGGGAAGATTATTATTGCAATATATGTTACACCAGTTCATTAAATATTCCAAATGTTTCTTGACTTTATCTAGCACGATGATGCAGCCATCAACTTAATGGAGATGCGCTTCCACATCCCATCCTCCGAGTTAGCCGGTGATGACCCTGTAGAGAACTTCCAGCAACGAGTCATGGCCAAAGCCTCAGTCATCACAGCCACAGGAGACGCTCTGGCCATCTTCAGGGAGGTCCAGTGTCTCACTCCTCGGTATGTTCTTTGTTTTCTGTTTTGGTACTTTGCTAGATTTTGCAACTGCAGATACTGAGGGAGAAAGAGAGGTGGTAAAGAAAAGAAAGAAAGAGCTATTGGATGTATAACATGTTCAGAGTTTTTGTAATGGCTGGGTATTATTTTGCTCTAAACCAAAGGTTCCCAGGTTGAGGGCCATGGCCCTCAGAGGGTCCATGGGGTATTTCTAGGGGGGCCATGATGCAATATGAAAATTTTTACATCAAATTTAACTGAATTTTATCTCGTCTACATTACCTACATATGATTATCTCACATATCAATAAATTAGAATCTTTCCATAAAGTTTTCTTGTCCTATAACTATTGACACCATTACACTGTTCATAACTAGTAATAGCTGAATCTGAAAAGATGACAGTCATTTAACGGGGCTGTGGAGATTTTTATATATTGATCAAGGGCCATAGAATGTAATAGGTTGAGAACCACAGCTCAGAACAGTCCTATTCTGAATAGCTACTATTTTCTTGTACTTGATATTGTTGGGACCATAATTTTCATGCCTGCTCTTTAACCATGATGTAATGGCTTTCTCTAACCCTTTTCAGAGGTCGATATGACATCAAAGTTTATCCTTCCTTCATCCAACTCCACGGTAAGACGTTTGACTTCAAGATTCCAGTCCAGACTGTCTTGCGTCTGTTTCTTCTACCTCACATGGATCAGCGACAGCATTTCTTTGTGGTAAGAGCCAGTCATCAATGCTTTGTTCTTGTGAAATGGGAGTTGTTTGTTTAAAGTACATTGTTGATTAATGTGTCAGTAGTATTCATTGTTTTTTATGCCCAGGTTAAGCCTACTATGTATTTACTTGTCATAGTTGATTTGGTAGAACCAATATTTAAAAAAGATATTTTTATTTTTAGAAACAAAAGGAGATTTCTTGTATGATTTTAGGAAATACTTTTGTAGGTTCATTTTTTTGCTTTTCATTTTTCCCCTCTATAAGGATTAGTTGAAGTGTCATATAATGGTTATAAGCATTACCATATATGCTATCTGTTAAGGCTTATATTTAAAGAATTTAAAAGTTGCACAAGAAGGAAAATCAAATATCATGTATTCTATTGTTTTGGGGAGTGATTCATTATTATTATTTTTACAATTCACACATTGTAAGATTTCACGATTCTCTACTTTGACTAATCACTTCCTCTTCAGGTGTCCCTGGATCCTCCCATTAAGCAGGGTCAGACACGCTACCCGTACCTGATTCTGTTGTTCTCCGGCGATGATAGTGACACAATTGAGCTGCCCTTGACAGAGTAGGTTTTGGTTAACTACTTTTTAAAAATTAGAACAAAGTAGAAGGAAAGCTGATGTTTCATATTTAAAAACAGTGTTTATTTTCTGAAAGATGTATAGGAATAAGTGGATCAGAATGGCATTTCTGTGTTAGAAATTGCCTATCTTTTTCATCCGGCTTCTTATACCCTGGTTCTGCCCCCCTAGGGAGGAGTTGCAGGAGAAGTATGAGGGTCGCATGGAGAAAGAGATGACAGGGCCACAGTTTGAACTTATCAGCAAGATCTTCAAGGGTCTCTGCAACCGCAAGATCGTCACACCTGGCAATTTCGTTGGGTAAGTACTAGGTGTAGTTCTTAGGTGGGAAGTGGGTTGGAAATTCAGTAAAAGGAGAAGAATGTGGAAGTTTTGATTGATTTTACTTAAGTTTATACAAGGATTTGTTTATTTATAGTCTTTCTGTGAGCATATTAGGATTAGGATTTTCTGTGATTTTTATCTATTGCACTTTTTTTTTCTTCTTTTCTGTAATTCTCCCCATTTCATCTCTGGATATCTATTCTCAAAGAAGAAAAAGAAAAAGAAAAGGAAAAGAAAAAATCCACAATTCCTCTTTACTCTTAATTCGTCCTCCCAAACCAACATTTACCACTCATTAACCCACGTCTTTCTTTCACAGTCACTCGGGAACGCCTGCCATTGGTTGTTCCTACAAGGCTGCTGCTGGCTACCTATACCCACTGGAGCGTGGCCTCATCTATGTACACAAACCACCTGTTCACATCAGATTTGACGAAATTATCTCGGTTAACTTTGCCAGATCTGGGTCCACTACAAGGTCTTTTGATTTTGAGGTAAGCTGATATGAATGCTTAAGGATGTAAGTAATGTGTATGTAAATGGTGAATGGTAAGATGTTAGTGCAAGTAATGCAACTGGTATATTTTGTAGAATTCTGTTTTATATTATTATTGTCATATTTGTGTTATATTGTTGTTATTTCAAGTACTAAAGTTAATAGAAAAAAGGAAATTAGTATGCCATTACAAGTTTTATATATTTATATATTTTATTTTATTATCAGATGAAACTTAATAGAAAAAAGGAAATTAGTATGCCATTACAAGTTTTAAACTGATAATAAAATAAAATATATAAATGTATATGTAAATATAGTAGTTATTTAATAAAAAACAGGTAAATGAACCAGTGTCACCTTACATACCTTTATCTTTTTATTACCACCAGAAGCATTAAAAGCTCACATAGTTTCCCTTGTTCTTAGGTTGAGGTTAAAAACGGAGTGATTAACACCTTCAGCAGTATTGAAAAGGGAGAATATAACCGCCTCTTTGACTATGTGAACCAAAAGAAACTGCGAATCAAGAACAGAGGAAAGATGGTAAGAGAGTTCATGCTCTTTCGGTATCCTGAGTTTTATCTTTATTCTACCAGTAAATTGATTAGGTATACAGGTAGTTTATATACATACCTTTTAAGTTTGATTTATTTTTAGGATTAATTGACCAGCTTACTGGAATTTTGGCCATAGAATAACATGTATTGGGTTCTTTCACTGTATGGCAGGGTACAGTAAGGAAATCTGTTATAAGTGGCCTGCTTATTGTTTCTAGAAGTGTCTGTGTTAGGAAGGAAAGGTTCCAAGCTCTTGTCTTAATGTGTATTGATGATATTTAAGTGTAAGCACGAGAGCAGGAAGGTTGTTAGCTTATTTTTTATTCATTTTTATTTTTTTTTTTAAAGAGATGAGGCTTGTTTTGGCTCCCATGTCACTCTTTCTTACTGACACATTACCTCTCTCTCAGGTATATTCTAGACATGTGAGTATTCTGAGATACAATACTACTTAGTTCATCTCTGAATTACAAGCCAAAAAAGTCAAAGGCAAATGAAACATAGTTAGTTAAGGCATCTCTGATGATGTACTGATGTGCCAACCTCTCTCTTAGGTATATTCTAGGCATGTAAGTATTCAAATGATATTTAAGCAATTTCTTTGTGCTCTTGGTTTTCAGTTCTTCAGTTTTAATATTCAGTAGATTTAGTGTTCAAATTACAGCACAGAATATTTGAATATTGTAGTGTGCAAAAGCATTTTTCCCCCGTCTTTTCTTTTTGATGTTTGCACCTTTTATCAGCTGAGTGATTTTTCAGATGTCATGCATGATGTTGCTATTGGGCTTTTTTTTTATTTTTGAGATATTCTTGATGAAGTTCGGGATTGACTTACCTGATGGGTATTTAAGAATGTTTCTTAATGGGGGTAAGCCAGTTATCATCCAGTGAGAGAAAAGCACTTTGAAGAGGTAACATAAGTACATATTGGCCATGTCTTAAGATCAGACCACTTCCATGTGAACTGATTTTATGTAATCTCTTTTAAAATTATGGTACTTTACATAGTGTTAGACAATTCTCAGTATTTCTTCCCATTTATCCCCATTTTACGTCTTTCTGATTGCATTGTGCAATACGTGAGCAACTGGAGCAGAAAGGGGAAAGATTAAACAGGAAAGCTGATGAATTGTTAAGAAATGTAAAGTGAAGAGAAGCTAAATCTTTTGATCCCTATTAGGAAATGGGTGGGAGGAAAGATGACTTCGATGACAGCGATGCAGACGAGAACGATCCTTACATGCGACGTGTCCGTGAAGAGGCCAAGGAACGTGATGACGACGACGATGAAGGATCCAGCGAGGATGAGGACTTTGCACCAGGAGAGGAAGGAAGTGATGTGGCAGAGGAGTAAGTTTGCATTTTTGTTTTATCCTTTCAAGATACATTCCTACATTGTTCAGAGTAATGAAAAGAAGACTGATAGAGAAAGGGAGAAAAAGAGGGCTGCCTTCTGTTTGAATGTTGGAACTTGCTCATAAAAGTTATTTATTTCAAAGGATGTGAAGAACATTCCTCACTTGGAATAAAAGCGGTGGCCGGAATATAGTGAAAGTTAATACCATTTAGATAGGATGCTCAAACTCGTACCATCTCGTTTCTTTTTTATGAATTGAATTACTTTTATTTCATTTGTAGTAATTTAAATGATACATTTCATTATGAAAGGCAGTGTACCACAAACAATTATACTTATGGTAGTATGGAAAGATATTAATATGTGAAAAGTACTTTTATATAGATGCATTGACTTATTAATTGATTATTCCTTTTTATCATGAATTGCAGACATGTCCTGGCATAGTTAAAGATTATTGTTTTAACTGTGAGCTCCTCTTTATGCTTAGAAAGGGAAACACTTTCTGTAAAATTTATGGTTTGTTTCAGGTATGACAGCTATGCTGGAGACAGCAGTGATGACTCAGATGCTGGAGATTCTGATGATAGTGGAAAGAAGAAAAAGAAGGAGAAGAAGGAGCCAAAGGTTTGTGTTTGTGTGAAAAGGGATGATTGAAAATCTTTTAAGATAATTATTTTCTTTATTTGTATTTATTTTGGTTCAGATTTTTATATATTAATTTTCTCAATTATTTTTCTTCACACTTATATCAAATTTTCTCCAGAAACCTAAAGCAAAAACAGTGTCGGAGAAACCACGCAAGAAGCGACAGAAGAAGGAGAAGGATGAAAACAAACCTAAACGAGCCCAGTCTGCGTACTTCATCTGGTTGAATGAACACCGAGAGCAGATCAAGAAGGAGAACCCGGGCATCTCGATCACCGAACTTTCTAAACTAGCAGGGCAGAAGTGGAGGGAGCTCAAGGACAGGAAGGTGGGCTTTCTAAAATTGATTTAGTTTGATTTATTGGAACTTTTTTTTTTTTTCATTGTTGTATATTGTTTTTGCCATAGAAGGGAAGAAATTTGCACTTTTCATGATGGTTGTTGATAAATGTTGAATGGGACGGGATGAAAATTTCATTGAAATTATTTCTTTCCATTCACTCTTCGTTATCCCCCACCCGACAGGAATGGGAGGAGAAAGCAGCAGAGGCCAAGAAGGAATACGAGGCGGCCATGAAGGAGTACAAGGCGTCTGGTGGAGGAGCGGCTTCAACCAAGTCCAAGAAGGCTGCCAGCTCACCCAAGAAAGCAGTGTCAGTCTCACCTACCAAGGCTGGCTCTGGCGGTGGATTCAAGTCCAAGGAGTATATTGACGATGAGTCCAGTGAGGAGGAGAGTGGTAGCGATAAACCGCCCAAAAAGAAGTCCAAGAAGGAAGCGAAGTCCAAGAAGAAGGTAAGAATCAGAAGATTTTTGAATTTTGTTTTCCTTATCCCTAGAAAGTGGGTAACATTACGGAGATATGCATGCTCCTCACGTCTCTGCCTCCTCACTGGAGCAGTCAGTTGCAAACTTTTACTGTGTAACCGCAAATCAGTGGCTAATGGGCTTCTTTATCATTATTATCATTGTTTTGATCATTATTCATTCTTTTATTGTCAGAGTAATAAACCTGGACAGCTAGTTTTGATAAACATGTCAAAAATAGCTGGCCTACAGGAATATTAAACCTTGAAAGTAACCAATCTTTTGGGGATATTATATAATATATATATATATATTGTAGTTGATTAATGTTACCTACTTCTTTAGTTTGTTATAGTGCTATAAGTATCTTTTTCTTAAAATTATTTTACAAATAGCAAAACTATTTGTAGAGTTAACAATTTTGCTTTTACTACAACAGGAATCAGAGGACGAAGAGGAAGAAGAAGAGGAAGAGGAGGAGGAGGAAGAGGAGAGTTCAGAAGATGAATCTGGGTCTGATTAGGTTACGTTAACCTGAATGTGATTTTAATTTAAAGGACATTTTATTCATAGGCGGCAATTATTTATGTAGAAATCTCAAGAATTTGTAAAGGACAGATCAATAATTTCCTGAGTACAGGACATCAAGATTATAGGTATTTTAACCACTTTGAAGGTATCTTTGAAGTTCTGTCAACATTCCTCATTCTGTATATGACTGTCATACTGTGAATTTTACAATGGTATAACCGCACTTAGTTATTTTATTTTTATCCAAAGTGAATAATCTTTTGCAACATGCAGAAGTTTCAATCCATGTACAACAATTATATAGTTTCATAAATTAA